GAAGTGCCCCGTGGGGGAGGGGCAGAGGCCAGAAGTTCTTGCCCTAAAAGGGCCTTAAAGGCTGGCTGAATTTTATATAGTGGGCCATGCAGCACATAGGTTGTAAGGTATTTTTTGTTTTTTGGTCTGTTGTGGTCTGTGTGAACTCTGGGGGTGGGCACTGTCCTTCAGCTCAAGGCTAGCATTCTACCACTTGAGCCACAGAGCCACTTCCGGCTTTTTCTGTTTATGTGGTGCTGAGGAATCGAACCCAGGGCCTCATGCATGCAAGGCAAGCACTCTACTACTGAGCCACCTTCCCAGCCCCATAGGTTGTAAGTTTGGATAGATTAAATCTCTTTTATTATGCAAATAAATCATGGTCTTCATAGTAAATCTCAAATCATATTTTTGCCATACACACACACACACACACACACATACAAAAGCAACTGCAGACATTCAAAGGGGAGAGCTTTTTGTTTTGTTGGTTGTGGGGCTTGAATTCAGTGACTGGATACTATCCATAAACTCTTTTGCTCAAGGCTAATGCTCTATCACTTGAACCACACAGCAACTTCCACTTTTGTGGTGATTAGAGATGAGTCTCCTGAACTTTCCTGTTTGGGCTTTGAACTGTAATCCTCAGATCTCAGCCTCCTGAGTAGCTAGGGTTACAGGTAAGAGCCAGGCTCAAGGGCTTTTTGATTTTGTACTAGTCTTGAGGCTTGAACTCAGGGCCTGTGGGCTGTCCCTGAGCTTTTTTGCTCAAGGATGGCACTCTACCACTTGAGCCATAGCTCTACTTCCAGCTTTTTTTTTGTGGTTAATTGGATCTAAGAGTCTAGGGACTTTCCTGCCCTGGCTAGGAGATGGCTGGATAGATGATAGATAGATGGATATCTTTTTATACACATTCATATACAGATACCTTATCTCTCTATATTCATATATAGGTATCTTATATATCTTTAGGTGTATATAATAAACCATAATCTCACACATTCTTGCTCTCTTGTATGTTTTCTATTACTACACATCATTAGTACTGTTTGCTGTAGAAGTACATGTCTTTCACAAAACTATGGAAGATTCGATGCTTTAACTTCTTCATCTGGTGGCTGCCCTACCGAGTCAATGCAGCTAGCTGGCATTGTGTTGTGTGTTACTTCGCAGTGTGTGTTATATTTCTGTTGGTTGTTGTTAAACTAGTTGCTGTTGTATTCTGTTGTGATTGAAGCACTGTTACATTACTGCATTGTGTTCTTTATGACTGTCCAGAGTGGGTTTCCTGGCTCAGGATGAACGCTCCCAGGACCCTCACACACGGCTTGTGTCACCCTGCGGTCTGTGTGCAGATTCCCAACACGGCTGAGTCTCAGCACCTACAGCCTCCGCAGCACCTGCACCGAGCACCTCCTTTCTCTTAGCTTTAGGGAGTGAGTGTAAGTGCGAGGTGTTACCTCATTTTTATTTTCATTGTCTAATAACTCCCAGTGTTGAACTTTTTCCATTATATGCTGGCTGGTAAAGTTTTTATTTTCATTTTTCTATGTTTTAGGTCTTAGGCCTATTTCTACTAGGACCCCTTAGCATTTTCTTATTGTATTACTTGGACTTTTTTTTTTTTTGCCGATTGTGGGGCCTGAACTCTGGGCCTGGGCACTGTCCCTCGGCTCTTCAGCTCAAGGCTAGTGCTCTACCACTTGAGCCACAGCACCACTTCCAGCTTTTTCTGCTTATGTGGTACTGAGGAATCAAACCCAGGGCCTCATGCATACGAGGCAAGCACTCTACCACTGAGCCACATTTCCAGCCCTAATTGGACTCTTTTAACAGAGGAATAAACCTTTGTCATCTGGGCTGTAAATATTTTTCCTGACTGTTCTCTTATTTTGGCTATAGGTTAAAAAAACATTCACACACACACACACACACACACACACACACACACACACACACACACACACATCTTCTGTGGCTGTGTAGGGAATTTCCTCTCCTTCCTTATCGAGTCTGATGGTTGTGTGCTGACTCTTCTCATGATGATATAGGGCTGCTCAGAGAGTAGAGCCCATGATCTCACAGGAAAATGTAATTTGCTCACCACCCAGAGTTAAGTCGAAAATAACACAGACTCTTCACCCACTCAGCGGATGTTTCCCTTGATTTTAGGGAAATGAAGTAAGCAGAAAGGAAGCTAACAAAACTATTGCTTGATTATCATTACAGGTTATAATTTTAGCTCTTAATGACTGGCATCGTCTAGACATCCTCCATCCTTAAGACCAGCGTTTCTGTGGACATGGCTGCAACTCTGCTTGACAAATGTGTATAGTCCACTCACAACGAACCTCAGGTAAGTTCTCAGGAGACTCTCCCGCGCCCACCTACCCCCAGCCACCTTCTTCAGAGTTTCCCTTGCAAGGAGTCATTAGGGCTTTGGCATTTTCGAGACTAGGATGTGACACCCCTCATGTGGGGGACACTGCCCTGGGGATCCTTGGACATCCTGGGTCTAGCCAAGTAGGGTGTGTGGCTGGCTACGGAATGCCTTGGGGGTCTGGGGGAGGCAGGAAGCCAACCTGGCTGGATCTTAATGTGAACCACACGTGGATCTTCCTGGAGGAAGAATGTTGTGTCCTGTTGTCAGAATGTGGCAACTTTTACTTACTAATGTACAGGGCAGGACGTACACCTTACACTAATAGAATATTCCTAGAGTCTCTTGCCCTGTTTCCAAGTTTCTTTCAGCTTTGATGGTTGATTCTTCTTTATGGAAGTTCCCTTTTTCCGTATGTTCCCTGCTAAACAATTTTCTCTCTCTCCCTCCCTCCTTCTCTCTCCCTTTCCTCTCTTCTCTCTCCCCCCCCCTCTTTTCCAGTACTAGAGTTGAGCTCGGAGCTTACTGTTTTTAGGAAGCGCTCTGCTGCTTGAGCCGCAGCATCAGCCCCTTTTGTTCTGGTCTTACTTTGTGTTCAGGCCAGCCTAGACCTCAATCCTCCTATTTCTGCTTCCGTCTGTAGCTGAGCTGACACATGTGTACCACCAGTCCATGTTTTCTTCTGTTGCGAGGGGATCTTGTAAATGTTCTATTTTTTTGTCTATTGTCGAGCTATGACCCACCCCATATCCACTTCCCATTACAGGTAGTGAGCCACAAGCGCTCAGGTGAGTCCTGTCTTTTCTGATTGGAGACTCTGCATAGAGTCCTGTAGAAGGGAGCCCAGACCTGTGATTGGGTGACGGTGACAACAGATGATGGCCCACACAGACACGATGCTGGCCTCTGAGTCTAGATCTATAAATATATTTATTATAATATAACAAGAACTTAACAATAAACATATACTATGTACAATACCATTACAGAGAACCCTGTTTTATATCATTCACAGAAATAGCCAGTTTTGCTCCAGTGTGATCGGTGAGGAGAGAAACGGGACTTCAGTACCATCCGCGTGGAGTCTTGTTGGCCACTAGCACCTCCCTTGGAGGCAGACACACACCACCATGCTCACATTCGCTCTGCCCCAGGCAGTTAGAAATTTGTGCTCCAGTCCTTGGGTTCACACTTGCACCCTGTTTGACATAAATACTTTAAATGACATACAATGTATGTAGTTTTGTGCTTATTATTTTCTTTTTTTAAATAATAAATAATATTATTAAAAACTGCATAACGAAGCTCGGTATCTCGTTCAGCGGGAGCCACGCTTGTCGTGTGGGAAGTTGATGCCCGAGAGGAGCTTTGGAAACTTTGTGTCATCAGATACTGAAAGATGGAAAGCATGTCCTGCCTCTGACTCCTTGAGAAGTGGTTCTCAGCAGGGAGTGCTGACGAGCTAGCTGACTTCCCAAGGTAAGTGAATGTGGATTGGGTTCCAACTTCAACTACACGGCGCAGAGGTGGCGGCCTTCTTCCTGCTCTTGGAATGGAAACTCATGACTGGGTGAGGTTTGAGGGTCTAAGGACTAGTGGGAAGGCTTTTTCTCTTTGGAGCCTTGGCGGGCCCTCCCTTCTGGCTTTCCTTTGCTCATGTTAATGTGTGACAAGGGGAGGAATTCTGCTCCTCAGGCCTTGGCTGTCATGGCTCATCTAAGAAGGCTGCCCCTGTCCCAAGAGCTCTTGGTGGTAGGTGCCTTAATATATAGCTATAAATATCAAAAATAGTCTCCTGTGCTTTGTAGACTTTTTTTTTCCTCCCTCCCTCCCTCCCTGGGTCCCTTCCTCCCCCCTGGCCAGGGTCCTCAGCTTTACCTCACGGAGGGAGCTGAGCTGGCGTCAGGAGCCAGCACCGCCTCTTTCTAGGAATAGACCCTTCTTCCTCTGACGACGCCTCCAACAAGGCACAGTCTTTATGGGGCTGTCTGGGAGTTACTTTTTTTTTTTTCCAAAAATAAAGTGAGGGCATGGCCCACCCCAGGAGAGATCCTCTATTCTGCACATAGAAAAAACGAGAGAGCAAACGTTCCCCCACCCCCACCCCACCCCGCGCTCTGGGCTGAGCCACGAAGAACTATGGGAACCCCACAGCATCCCTCGCGCGGCCTCCTCCTCTCCGTACTTAAAAATAACCTTTTGTTTATCAAGAAAACGCCTTGGAAAATCTAAATAATTCATATTGGATAAGAGAAAGCTAGCGCAACCGCCTTGTCCTTCTCCAGCTTAAAACAAAACAAAACAAAACCTAAAACAACAAAACCCAAGAACCCAAAACAAAACAAAAAAACCATGGTAGAAAAACCCAGGAAGGTCAGATGCTGCCCCAGCCGGTCTTGCAGCTTCCACCCGGCCCCACTCCCGCTCGGGCAGCCGGACAGCCGGACAGCCCTCTCGTGCATCCCAGTGGGGACCAGCAGCATCCTCAACCTGATGCTACACAGTCCTGTCCTCGCTGCTTCTCCCAGCCCCTTGAAGGTGTAGACTGGTTAAAAAACAAAAGTCGGAATCAAAGTGATAAGGACACTTTGATCTTCTTCCAAAAAAGCCTCATACCCAATATTGTCGTAGGCTAACTGATCTATGGTGGATGAGGGATCAAGCTTGCTCTGCAGGAAGGGAAACACAGCTTCTCTCTCCCAGTTGAAAATAAAAATATATGTGAAATATTGCACCGGGTAGAGTGAGCGAGTGCCTGGGTTTCGAGCAAGCGTCTCTGCGGGAGCCAGCCAGCCCTGGCGTAGGCCCGGCTCCCCGCTCCTGTGCACAGAACGCCATGCTCCGTTTCACCCAAAGGCGACGATGATCGTTCTACATTCAAATGTAGAGAATATTCAAAATGGTGAGCGCAGTGAGTTCCTGGATTGTGTTCTGTGGGCCTCTTACTGGTGGTGTTGAAAGAAATGATCATTGTGTATAGCGTTTGCCTCACCGGACTTTCTCCACAGTCTTGTCATGGGCTTTCTGCTGATGTCAGCCGCTTTGAATGTATTTCTTTATCACCACGCAGCCGTGTCTGAACACAGGGCAGGGCATGTGGGGGAGGAGGGTCCATGTGTTGGTGGCGGGCTCGTAGGCTTCCATGTTGCCCAGGGCAGGTCCCTCGCTGCTCACGATGCCTCCCGTGGCATAAATCTTACCGTCCAGCACCACGGCACTGCCGGAGGCAAAGTGGACAGAGAATCAGGCCTTGAACTTCCAGCTTCGCATCCCCGATGCTGCCACCACTGCAGGCTGCCCGCAACCTTTTGCAAAGGTATGGGATCTGGAGGTCATTCTTTGCCTTTTGCCCTGGGCTGATTCAACACCTCTTTCCTGCAGGGACAACCCGACGTGGCGCTGCAGCCCTGGCTTCCCGCTCAGCCCTGCTGAGCTAACTCTGTTACCTGTCCTCAGCTCCACCGCTGAGGCCTTACTGGCCATCTTTTTATGTTGACTACAGAGTCTTCTCACTCGGGGACATGACTCAAGACTGCGAGGACCTGGTTCAAGGCCTTATCAGCCACTTGACTGGGAGTTCTGCCTCAGTCCCAGGTTCAGGGTTCAACCTCTCTACTGTCTTACCACGTGTACTTTGGGCCTGCTGTCTGCCCATGACTGCGAGGGTCAGGCATGTGCTGCAGGGTGCCAATGGCTGTGCCCAGACCCCTTTCCTGGGGTCACTCACTGGCTTGGTCCTGTCCTCCTGACCAGCTCTTCCCATCACGACAGCCCAGCACCTCACCCTCTCTGCTCTCTCTCTGTCGGCATAGTCCCAGCCCCTTCACACTGGCGTCCACATCCAGCTTTCTGCCTCACTTCCTTTTCATTCTCATTAAAGGCTATTTCTTCTTGGCTATCCCCTGATCACCTTCCCTCCCTCCCTCCCTCTCTTCCTCTTTCCCTCCCTCCTTCTTTCTTTCTTTCCTTTTGATAGCAAAGGTTTGAACCCAAGCACTTGCTGGTCAGGTGCTATACCACTCCAGCCATGCCCTCGTGCGTTAGTTATTTCTCAGGTAAGGTCTCATGTTTTTGACTGGGGCTGGCTTCAGAGTGCGAGCTTCCCGTCTACAGCCTCCTATATAGCTGGGACAACAGGTGCCTGCCACCACACCTGCTTATTCATGGGGGGGGGGTTTCTGTAATCTACATCCTCAGAATCTTGAGCTCCTGAGTAACTGTGAGGATAGGAGTAAGCCCCTGCGTCTGAGAGACATAGCTCTTCCAAGGCTCTGCTGTTTCTGAAATGCCTCACACAGAACACCTATCTGTGGACTTAGTCGGCTGAGGCTTCTAGCTTGCTTTCCAGCTCTACACCCCCAGGTCTTCATGTCTCTCCCTTTATGGTCAACTTTTTCCCACTCCCCTTGTTCACATCTCCCCTGGCATTCAGTCAGGGCTGCTTCCCACAGTGGGGCTCAATAATCCAGTTGTGCTTATCAGTGACAGTGACCACCCTGCACACGGCCCCTTCAGAGGACATACAAAGAGGACAGCTCAGGAGCGGCAGCGCTGGAAGGCCAGCAGGGGCTGAGCAGTTCTCTGGCCCATGGCTATTTCACATATAGACGTGTCCCGAGCCAGGGAGGTTATTTGTCCAAGTTGTTTAATGTGCTTGGACTAGGGCTGTGTAGGCCCTCAATCAATACTTCATGCTATTCACACGCTGAAGACTGATTACTTCTGCATTTGCACCAGGAGAATCTGCTATGGCCGCTGATAATGAGGTGATTGAGGCCTGGAAGGGGAAGGGCTTGTATCCCCTCTTTCCCTACAGAGGCAGGACCCTATGTATTCTTCCCCATCAGATCCTGAGGCTCCAGATCGGCGGTGTCTTGTGTCCCTCACCCGATCTACACCCCAAGGGCCACAGGCTTTACCCTGAGCAGCCACTTGTCCCTGGGAGACACCCTGGGAGAGCACTGGCCTCACTTCTCAGCGAGAGGAAGATGGCCTGGATGCATCTCCCAGTGTGAGATGGGGTTACTGGAGTTAGAGGTGGAGCTCCTGGGGCAATGGTTACCGTAACTACCCTAGGGAGCTACCCTTGGGAGCCCCCTCTCCCCGCCCCTCCCCACTCCCCTCTGCTCTTTACATCCATTGAGGGAAGGGCCGCTGCTCTGCTCTCGTCCGGAGGTGTCTTTGACCACGTTAAAGTTGTGAGCCCTTGTCATCACAGCCCCAGGGGATGCGCCTTACCTGCAGAACTGGCGAGAGTGGTTCATGTTGGGGCCTGCCTTGATGTTGCCTTTGTCGGGGTCGTAGATGGTGGTGGCCCTGGCATAGGCTCCACCCAGGATGAACACGAAGCCATTCAGGGTGACTGCAGGCGCATACTTGTTATCTGTGAGGACAGCAGGGCCGGCAGGTCAGTATGCTGTCTCAGACAGAGCACCGCACCCCCTCCCTGCAGCATGTCACCGACTGACTGGACGGTAGGCCTGGGCCCTTGATCAGCCTGCCCTTCTCCAGGTGCTACAACCCCTGACTGCACCTGGGCTCTGGGGGCACCCACCCACTGCCCAGATGGGGGTCTGCAGAGTCATTTGGCTTAGCCAATGGGCTGCAGAGGATGAACGAATCAGTGTGTGGGGGTGGGGGGGGAAGAGGAGCACACTGGCTCGACCTGGTCCTCACCTATCATCGGGGACTCGATGAAGCTCCACGTGTTGGTCTGAGGCACGTAGGACTGGAGGACGCCCGCGGCCCGGCCGGCCTCGTTCACCCCACCGAACACATAGATCTTGCCACCGCACACGGTGGCTGCTGCCGAGTGCACTGCCTTGGGCAGAGGGGCCACTGCTTCCCATTGGTTCGTGATGGTGTCGTACCTGCGGAGAGAGGGGGCCTTGTGCAGGGAAAGGACGTGGACGGGGCTATGGCCACAGCCACAGGCAGCAGCCCTTGGGGAAGCACAGCATCTGCTTCCTCTCCGACAGCCAGAGCCACAGCGGAGGGCACCCAATGAGGCCCTGCAGGCTTCCTAGGGTTGCCCCAAACTGCCTGACCGCTTGAACCTCAGTGGGCCTGTCCAGTCTCTCTGCAGATCCTGCCTTTCCTTCTGCACATGAGCTGCCCATCCCCGAACCCAATGGCCCTCTGTGCAGCTCGGTCCTACCCTTCTCCGTGGCAATCTTGCATGGAGCATCCCAGGCTCTGGGCTGGGGATCAGAGAACTGGAGAACCAAGTGCTCTTCCTGCCTTTGGGGAACCGATGACAGCACAGGACTGCGAGTGAGGGGGTGGCACTGCACACAGGGGGCGTCCTGCCTTCACAGGCGGGGAGAGACCTCTTGGAGGAGGGATCCTGGGCTGGGTCTAAAGAGGGAATGGGCAATCCCAGCTGAGCACAGACAAAGGGACGGGACACTCTTGGAGTGTGGAATGGCCGGAGGTCAGGTGAAGGCCATGCATGCAGAGGTCAGGAATCCAGCTTTATGTACTGGACAGTAGAAGAGCCCTGAACATTTCTGCAGAGAAAGAATGCAATCCAAGGGGCTTCTGGAGAGGTCACTGTGGCTGCAGGGTGGAGAGGGGCTTCAGCGAGGAGGCTGGAAGCAGGGCGACTAGACAAGTCTGCTACAGGAAGCTTGGGCCAATGGGTGACCAGAGCAGGAGGAGGTGGGAAGAGGAGAGGGTCGGATCACTGCTGGAAGGCCAGAGCTTCCCATGGTGACGCAGGGTCTTCTGCCTTGGGAGATGGACTGGAGACGGCTCTGCTGGAGGCCAGGGATTGCAGGCTGGGGGGCAGGGGATGAAGTTGATTCCAGTTATTTTTTTCCAATGTCAGTGGGGAGCAGGTTAGGGGTGTGCAGCGGGAGGGCACACAGCGGGAGGTATATGGGTCTGGGCTGGATATCAAGCCCTGGGGATACTGGCATGAAGATGGAAACTAGAGCCAAAGAGTGCATGATGGTCAAAGAACATGAGGCTGAGGACATGTTCTAGGGAGCGCTGGCTGTGAGCCTGGGGGCAGCCTGGGTCCCACAGCAGCAGCCATCTTCCTCTGTGGAGAGCTCATGGTATTTCTGTGGTCCAAGGTAGTCTAGAGGACCAGAGGGACAGAAGCCATTGTGTGTCACCACCCAAGGGGAGGCTCCTAGTGGAGACTGGGAAGAGTGGGCATAAGTTTTACTGGCAGGGAAGTTAGCTGTGGAGAGAGGCAGAGACGTTAGCACCCAGAAAGGGAAATGAAGGCACAGGGGGTTTTGGCAGGTGACTGTAGACCAACATTGATCAGTCATCTGTGCAAGAAAAAAAACAAGTCCTAGAGTGTAGCGTCTGCTGATTCTTGTGGGTAAGTCCTCCCAAAAGTCTGACTTCAATCTAGCAGCTGGATGAGGGAGTAGGGAGCCAGCTGTGGCCACCGTTCTCCAGGCTTGCAAGAGCAGAGAGGGGGAAAATGTGGCAGACAACGGGGAAGTCAAGAGTTGTGAGGAGGATCACCTGTGTCTTCGCTCCATAATTGTAAATGTACGTAATTTAACTTGTAAGCTAGTTGTCAACTGGCTTGAGGAGTCCCCAGTTTTCTAACAAGTGGCTGTCACAAATTAGTCTGAGGCAATATCAGCATACCACTGGGTTTGCTTTATTTTGGTGGTGGAAGTGGTGATGGTAGTGTGTGTGTGTGTGTGTGTGTGTGTGTGTGTAGAGAAGAAAAGCTTAATTGTGTTTCCATCCTGCAGATGGGAAGAATCCCAACTAGATAAGAAAGCACTAAACATGCAGTTGGCCTTCCATATTGGTGCACTTCACATCCCTGGATTCAACCAACTGCAGATAGAAAATATTTGGGAAAAATGCATCTGTACTGAACACCTGTTTTTGTCTTGTTATAATTTCCCCCCAAATACAGTGTAGCCATTATTAAATGCATCAGGCATTATAGGTAATGCTGAGATGCTTTAGAGCATATCAGAAGGTGTGGCATGCATGGATTAGGTGTAAATATCCACCATCAATCTGGTTATCTGCAAGGTCCTGAAACAGAGGGGGAGGGAGGAGAGAGGAAGGAGAGAAGGAGAGAGAGGCAGGGAGGGAGAAATTTGAGAGCAGTCTAGGGAATATAGTGAGACTCTGTCTTCAACTACAAAAAGGAGGGCTGATGATATAAGGTGTTGGGAGAAAGAGCAGACTCAGATTGAATCCAGGGTGACCAGGGGAGTGAGTGCATTTGGGCAGGACAGAAGCCAAGGATGGGAGTGAGCAGGAAGACAAATTATGATGGCCTTGTTTTTCTGGGATGCAGGAGACAGGATTGGCAAAAGCAGTGGGGGAATTTGCATGGGGAGGGGACTTTGAGGACAGAGAGGAAGAAGAGTAACACCTGCTTCTCAGAGTGGGGCAAATGGCTGACAAGGCAAATCCCAAAGCCTTCCTTGCAGCACCTGACGTAGGTGGAGGCCAGGTGTGTTGTTCAGGCAGTGTGCAGGACGATGGGATTTTCCCGTCAGCCCCAGGGCAGCACACAGGCCATGAGTTCAGTGGAACAGATCTGCTGTCTGCATGTTGCAGGACAAAGCAGCCAATCAAGAGAAGGGACGAACTGGAGCTACAGATAAGACAGGGGAAATGGGACAGGAAGCAGCTGTTGGGAAGAGCAGGACTGGGGTTCAACAGACTGGCCAAGGGGCTTGGATTCTTGAGGTCTATTTGCGGGGATGGGCAGCTCCTTCCTGATGGTCTCAGCATCTCTGTCCAGCATTCCTGGGGGCTGACTGCACCAATGGTGCTCTTGCTGTCCCAGTAATTACTTGGGACCTGAGTAGAGCCTATCTACAGCTTTCTTCACTGTTCACCCCTCAGTGTGTGCCTGGACCCAAAGCAGGGATCCGAGGTGGCTCACTGAGCCTCCAGAGGCATTTGATTGTCCTGGGAAGCACACAGCCCCCACACTTCCTCTCTGAGCCTGTGAAGTGAGCCATACATGGGTCAGAACTCAGTGCCCTAGGAAGTGGGCTGTATGTGGCCTGTCCCTCTGTGTGTGGCGAGGGGATAGCCATGGAGTATCCTGCTGTGGCCTTAGATTTGAGAAACGGCTGCGGGGCAGCAGGGCTGATGCCACTGGCTCTCAGGTCCGTGATACGTGGCTGACGTGCAATGGGGCAATGTCGTTTTGGACAGTGTCAGAAGTTCAGATATGTTTTTTAAGCCAACCTGGCAGAGATCCAAAGAGCTCCTGCAGAAGGAGCTGGAGACAGAGGGAGATTATGTGGCTGTTAGTCCTCAGTCTTTCGGTATAATGGCACATTCCACCAAACACAAATTTCCTGAGAGCTTGTTATTCCAGGTGGCTGATTGCCAAGCCACGAGCCCTCCCGTCAGCTCAATCTGTCAGCTTCCTGCTTGAGAAGGATATGCTAATGACATGCAAATGACCTGCCGAGTGAGGCGCTCCACTATCATTTATCCAGTAAGCACAGCTACCGCAATATATTTCTATAAAATATTAGACCCGGTTATTTATATAATGATATAATACAGGTTTGTCTATGGCACTGTTGTTTCAATCTATAATTATATAATCTTGCTCTATTCCTGTAATACAGTAATGTAATATAATTATAATGCACCATATATCTCATTCATTATCAATATAATAGCAATTTGTACCATTAGTACTTCCTGAGGAACAAAGCACCCTCATGTCTGTCCCCATTACGCTGACCTTCCTGTCAGCCTGAATTCTCATCATCGCTACCATTTGGCCCTGAAACTGCCTTACCCAAAGGGGACTGCTTTTGGGGAGGCAGTGGCCTTCCCCCGACTGTGTCCTTAGGCTCCCTTGCGTGGACATCATCCAGGGGTCTTCAAGGACAGCTGACAGTGCTCCCTGTCACCCTAGATGGCTCCTCCATCCACTGGGACTCTCACAATAGTCTTGCTCACATGGTGCCCCAGCTGGCATCCCCCTTTACCCCTCCCCCCCGAAAGATGATATGGACAACCTCTGGGTCTTAGAGCAGCTGCTCTGGGTCCAAGACAAGCAAATCTTGTCTCTACCTCTTAGTCAGTATATGTGATCCTTGAACAAATCCCTGTATTTATCAACAAGTATAACTTTGCAAAAAATGAGTAATCAGCGTCTTAGGAGATTAAAAATAGCTGACAAAAAGCAAGGCAGATGACAGATCCAGCTCAGTGTACTCCTACACAGAAAATGTCTCCTTTTCTCACGCGTTCATTATTGGGTGACAAATGGCTAGAAGCGGATGCTTCTGGAAGGCTTGAAGCACCCAGTGGCCATGCTGCAGGTCACATCAATGGTCCCCGTGTCACCGCTGGTCCTGGTCCAACAGCAGTATTCACATCCTTGTAATCACACAGGGATTCCCCATTATCTTCAAATCAATATGACAATTAAATGTTGTTACTGAGCCATCTCTGGGCTCCACTTGGGGGAGTTAAAAGCCCACAATGAACATTCGGAGCCCGCCTCACTCTGAAACCACTGTTGCTGCAACATTTGTCAAGTGTCCAATTAGCCACCGAGGGGTAAAAAAAAAAATCCAATTGAGGAATATGTGTGACTTCACAGGCAAAGGACTCCACATGGGAGGTGGCAGGTAAGGGCAGAAGCTAGGTTGGCAGGCCAGGGCGTAGGGAGGCCTGGGAAAAAGAGCTCTGGTGATGTGGAAGGCAATCTCTTGGACTGTAATGTGAGGCCAGGTCTGCCTTGCTTATCAGCTCTTGGGGCCTTAGTTTCTTCCAATACAGCATAGTGGCCTTCTTGTTCCTCTGCTAACTGACCAGTCTCCCCCAGATGTTCAGGCTGTCTTCCTATGATGTCTCCTGACCCCACAATAACACCTTCACTGCCTGTGAGGAAAGGACCTTAGCATGACCCCCAAAGATATGGCTGTACATGCAGCCTCTGGCCCTGAACCTACTCCTGACCCTGCACTATGACCTCTGGGAGAAAGCTCTCTGGGGACTTTCAATAGAGGGCGACTAGCATGTGAATCTGGAGAATTCTGGAGTGTTGGTGAGACTGTGTTCCCAACTGCTCATTTGGTATGTGGCAGCACCAAAGGCTTCCTGGGATGTGAGGGGTGGTCGGAGGGCAGCGCTCTGTTGTACAATCCTGCTTGGGAGGACAAGGAGCCGCTGCTACTGCACAGCCTGTAGTTGGAGCATGGAGTTCCAGCTTTGCTCCTGAATGTCTAGCGAGTCTCAGTGATGGCACCTGCAGACTAGTATGCCACCCCCCACCATCTGGCAAGCCTGGCCAAGCTCACCCTATGACCCAAGCAATGGGCCTCCATCTTGTTCAATGCTTAAATGCCCCACCCGATGACTGGGGACAGCTGCAGCAGACGTCACCCCGCTGCATCTAGCTCACATGCCATGGTCCTTGCCAGTTACTGTGTCTGAGGAGCCTCGTACGGCCTTGCCTGTAGGGCTATGGAACACTGTGTGGGTGCTGGTGAGAAGCAACGTGACTTTAGCTTCCCGCGACCGTTGAGAGGATGCCCGGTGGGGAGTGTGGCCTCCTTACCGCTCCACGTGGTCCACGTTGCCTGACACACCCAGTCCCCCAAGCGTGTAAATCTTTCCATCGTAGACGAGGCTGTTGTGCCTGCAGCGTGGGACTGTCATTCTGGAGACCAGGTTCCAGTTGTCAAGCAGAGACATGTAGCACCAGACATCGGCCAGCGTCACCCCCGATTCCATCCCACCTGTGGGCAGCATGGGGGGTACAGAGAGCAGGCAGGGGCTGAGGCAGGGTGCGCACCAGCCGGCCCAGTCCCAAAGGTGGAAGGAGGAGGCTTCACCTGCAGAGGGGCCTTGGCCTTGCTCAGCTCTGCCACGTGGGCAGAGGCCCCTTGGGAAGCCCAGCCCAGCCCCCGCCCCAGCCCCGAGGGGCCTCACCTGAGAGGTAGATGTTGTCCCCGGCACTCACTACACTGAAGAACTCGCGGTCATAGAAAGGCAGCGAGGCCAAGGGGTACCACTTGTTGTTCTGCGGGTTCCAGCAAGTGACGGCCACCAGCGAGCGCTGGGTCATCCCCACCATCTGACGGCCCCCAACCAAAACGATGACCTCAGCCACACCTGTGGGGACATGGATGGGCACCCTTGGGACACACCCTCCCGTTGTCAGCATCTGTGCCTGGCTTCTCTGTGGGGGGCACCCCAGCGCTGGGCTTACCCCATGGCACCCACGGCTCCACACAGCCCTTGGTACCTGCTGAGAGGCGGGGCCGGGTTCGGGGTGTCTGCATCTCCTGGCGAGCGTGGGGTAGCATGTGGTAGCGTTTGGCCTCGTTGACCAGGTCCCGACATGCTTCTGATGACTTGATCAGCTCCTCATTGTCCACCACGTTGAGCAGGTAGCTGGGGTGGATGAAGGGGAGGCGGACGACTGCCAGGAGCTCGGCTGCATACTGTAGGATGAAGCAGACACGGCCCAGCTTAGACTCCGGGGAGGGAGTCTATACAACGAGAGTTGTGTAGAGAAGAAGGAAGTGTGGGACTGTCCCAGGGCCGTGCATGGATGACGAGGGCACTCTTCCCAACCAGCCTAGACAGAGGTGGGAAGGGCACTCAGCCCTGAAGGCGGCAGCTGGTCCACTGTGGCCCATCCATTCATTCCTTCAGCACCTCATTTCTGCACTCCACCCTGGTCACGGGTCCCTGCCACATACCAGGTTTGCCAGGGGTGGGAACAAGGAGGGCGTGAGTTTACGATGAGGTGTGAGGAGGGCAGAGACTTCAGAGCAGGTGAGAGGGCTCCAGAAGGACTTGAAAACGCTGGTGCCTATGAGAGCCTGTGTGACCCCAACACCACAACTCCTTCGCGGTGGCTCCTCATCTCACACTGGCTCCGAGCTCCCCGCACTCTGGGCTGGAGGCTTTTCATGGACTGACCTGTACTCCCTGCCGCCTGGCAAAGTGCGCGTCATTCAGCAAATAAAGGGTGGTCACACGTGCCACCCATTAAGCTCGTGGCTGAGGAAGGCGTAGGATCACGTCCCTGATCTCCAGGTGTCCATAGGTTAATGGGGGAGAGGCAAGAGCAGGAGGCTGGTTAGGTGTGTAGGCCGTGCAGGAGTGAGAGGCGACAGAAGGCAGGTGATGTCGGAACTGGCTGGACAGGGGCTGGGCAGAAGCTGGGGAGGTTCACATTCAAAGCCATGCGGAGGCCTGGAAGGGGAGGGATATCTGGGGAATTGCATGGGGCTTATTTTTGTTGGATGCGGAGGGTTTTTGTTGAGGGGTAGCAATCAGCCAATAAGGAGCAGTGAGCCTGGAGAGGTTCACAGGCCAGGCTCGGCTGACCTCATCCTTGCGGGCCAAGGACTGTGCGGCTTCTCTTGCGAGGTGAAATAATGGAAAGTTTTTTTTTTTTTTTTGGTCCGGTCATGGGGCCTGAACTCTGGGCCTGGGCGCTGTCCCTCAGCTCTTCAGCTCAAGGCTAGCGCTCTACCACTTGAGCCACAGCGCCACTTCCGGCTTTTTTCATTTTGCTTATGTGGTGCTGAGGAATCGAACTCAGGGCCTCATGCATGCAAGGCAAGCACTGTACCACTGAGCCACCTTCCCAGCCAATGGAAAGTTTTAAACCGTGTGAGCCAATCTGTTGTAGAGACAGCACCCAGGCTGCAGGATGGGACATGGATTCAAAGGGAGCGAGGTGGGTGACGGAGACACCACTGAGGAGATGCTGGCTGTGACCCTGTGAGACTGGGGTGTGAAGAGGGGCAGAAGGCCATGAGCCCATCTAAGAAAGAGGAAGGAAACAGAGATAGACACGGTGTGGCCAGCAAAAGAACCCATGATCTGTCTTGGTCAGTGGGCAGAACTTAGGTGGTGGATGCAGGAAAAGACGCGGGCTTTGGGCCTGATGAATTAGATGGTTTGGGAACACTCTGCTGGAAATGTCCAGTAGGCGATCAAGGACAGAGATGTGGGTTGGGGCATAGATTTTGGAGTTGTTGCAAATTGTGGCAATCTGTCATTAGCTGCCAATCTAGCTGCCTTCCTCTGGAAACCAACAAAAACAAACAATTGCCTCCTTCCAGCTTGATCAAGTCTAAGGATCCCTTTCCTGCTCTGTGAGGAGCTGGAGGCTGGGTCGTGTGGGGAGGCATCTCTGTATGCTGTATGGCCCAGTCCCACCCATCCTAACACCTACTCCACCCCTCCCAGCCTTGTCCCTCTTCTTATTCCCGAGCTAACACGACCGCCCTTGTCATCCATCGCTCAATCGCCTCAGCTCATTCTGGGGTCTGACCTCTTTAACCTTGTTCTGCCTGATTAGGCCCTTGCTTCTGGGATGTCCCCATTTGCTGTTTTCTGGGTACCTCCTCAGCCTCCTCTCACCAGTTTCTGATACCCACAATGCCAAGAATCAAGGCAATTCCCCTTGGAGCAGGGCCTCTAGCCAGGAAGTGCACAGACCCAGTGGCTCCCAGTGACTTGGGTGCCTCTCTGGGGCACTGCCATCTTTTCCTTCTCCCTTGGATTCCTCCAGCTGTCTCCCCCCCTCCCCCCCTCCCAGGGTCTCACACTCCCTCCTGTCATGTGCACAGTGGCCTCCCATCTCCCGCAGGCCTTGGATGGGAGCGCCTCCTGTTGGTCTGAACTCCTGGGAGCCCAGCCGAGCACCTTCCTCAGGCACCTATTTTGTCTTGCAGGCCCTGAGTGATGCAAATCCAAGTCCTGTGGCCTCTGGTCATCTTGGATGCACTCAAGGTGAAATGACAGTCATGTAAGGACCCTCTGGCGATATGTTCATCTTCACATCTTCTCTTCTCCTCTCTGCTGCTGTGTGTGTGTGGCAGGGAGGAGGCATGGGAGACTGGGGAGCACAGCAGGACCAGCCTCCCTCTCCCTGGTCTAATAACTCCCCCACAACCCTGTTGGATAGATGGGAAACCCTGCTTTATTTACCACCGTTCATCTTTGCTGCAGATCCCTTCACTGCAAGGTCCCCTCCCAAACCCAGAGAGAAGGAGTAGGGATAGGCCAGGCCCTACCTGGGCACGTGACGCAGGGTCCTTCTTGATCCATTTGATGACGGTCTCATACACCAGCTCCTCGGCCTTGGTGTTGAGGCTGTCATTGGAGACGTAGGCGATAAAGTCGTCCTTGGAGATGCTGAGGATCTCCTCTTGGGCTGCCACCTCGGGGAAGATCTGCAGTGCGAAGGCCTTGGCCATGTGGTAGAGCTCGCTGCACTGCATGGCCTCGGCCATGGCCAGCACGCCCAGGCAGTTGCTGGCAGTCAGCTGCTTCTCTGGGATGACAATGTAGAGCCACTGATTCAAGGGCCCAGGGAGGATCACCTTTTGTTCCCACCCTCCATCACCAGAGTCCCCCAAAGCCCCTTCTTGTGTTGATGTGACAAGTTTTCTTCTGCCCTAACTCATACTGACTCTCCTGATCTCCCCTCTGCTCCTGCAGGTGTGGCAGGGCCAAGGCTGTGAGGGGTAGTGAGTTTCCTCACCTTGTGGAGGGAGGGCTGAGGCTTTGGAGCCTAGAGATGTGTGTGTGTGTGTGTGTGTGTGTGTGAGGGGGGTGTCACACTGTGACTTACAGTGTCTTGTCTTTCACAACCCTAACAGGCATGTCTGAGGTCTCAGACTTCTCTCTCTTTCTCTCTCTCTCTCTGTTGGTCATGGGGCTTGAACTCAGGGCTGGGGCACTGTCTCTGAGCTCTTTCACTCAAGGCTACCACTTTAAGCCTCAGTTGCACTTCTGTTTTCTGGTGGTTAACTGGAGATAAGTCTCATGGATTTTCCTGCTTGGGCTGGCTTTGAGCTGACATCCTTAGATCTCAGCCTTCTGAGAAGACAGGATCACAGGTGTGAGCCACTAGCACCTGGATTGGGGGACTTTTGATTTTGTGCTGCTCCTGTATGCCATCCCTGAGCATTTTGCTCAAGGTTAGCACTCTACCAGTTGAGCCACAGCTCCACTTCCAGCTTTTTTGGTGGTTAATTGGAGCTAAGAATCCCAAGGACTTTCCTGGTGTGGCTAGGGTATGGCTAGATAGACGACAGATAAATAGACGGATATTGCCCCCTTCCCTGCCCCCGAGTGATATATGGTCCCCACACAGCTTACCAAGAAAGGACACACAGACTTTGCAGAAGGTGTGGAACTGGAACTTGCTGGCTGCCTCTAGCAGAGTCTTGGCATTGACGGAGTCGATGACCAGAGAGCCTGTGTAGACAAACTCCAGCAGCAGCTCCAGCACGTCAGCCTGCAGGTTGGACAGCACCAGCTCCAGCTTCTCCCGGCCGCACTGGCTGCTGTCTTGCACGGACCTAGGCACAGAGACCAGGGTGTCCTCATTGGCCACCAGGGCGACCATTGCGCTGCTGCCTCACAGGGCCAGATCTCCCTGCACACCTCGGTCACGCCCTTCGTTTTAGGACTCAAAGGACACACCAATGACACACCTGAACCTAATGACCTGACACGGGATCTGAAAGAGAAGAGTCTGACCAGAGGCGCCCAAAAGAACAAAAAACCCTGCTTATTACTACTCGGCATGTCCATGCAAAAAAAGATGCAAATCAAAAAGCATGAGCTGTGGATGGGGACGAGGACCAGGACTGGCCTCAAAGGGAAACAATATGGTTCAGCCCCCAGCTGGCCCTAGTGTTTGCACCAAAGATGACCAGCTTGCCCTGTCAGGGCCAAGGGAGAGCCTCAGACAGCAGATTCTCCAAGGCTCAGAAGGCTCAGATTGGCTGGGATGCCAGACAATCAGAAGGCTTCCTCTGAGCACCTGCAGACAGGGCCCCAAGCTGCCCTGGAAGCCCTCCAACCCCAATAGTTCCCCCAAACATACTGTTTCCTTTTAGGCATGGAAGGGAAGCCCTTCATGACATTGATTTGAAACTGAAGACGAGACGAGATAGACGGACAGAATGGTTAGAGCTGGGAGGGGGAGAGGGGAACAATCAAGGACTTCCGCCACAGACAGCCAGCAGCCATGACCTGGGGCCTGGCCCGGGGCGGGGCCCTCCTGCCACATGGAACACGGGGTCAGAGTGGCCTGCGTGTAGAGTGTGCGTCGGGCTTGTGAACTGGGGGGGGGGAGCAGGGGAGGGACACAAATATATCAGTATGTTTATATCTGGTGTCTACAGAAATACAAAACCATTGCAAAGGCTCCTAAGGCCTGGCAGCCGCTCCCTAAAGCTGGACCTGGAAGGAAACAGATAAGATGAAGCGGAAAATAACACCGACACAGAAGTGAGGCCGGGAGGAAAAATACCCAGAGCGTTAAAAGTCAGGAGGCAGGTTTCTCAGAGGCCATCAACGTGGCCACCCCGTTTTGGCCACTCTCACCAGGACAGCTTTCTGCACTGAGCCTGACCCTGCTGGAGGCTGTGGCTGAACAGCAGCCTTGCAGTCCACCCTCTCACTTGCAAGGAAGCCAGGGGTCAAGACTCTTGTGGCTGATCCCTTGGAAACACCTGGGGCTGGCAGTGGGTTGGAGCAGTGTCTGGAAAGAGAGCAGGTTGGCCTTAGATAAAGGCCATCTGCCGGGTGGGTCAATAGAGCACTGGGAGAGGGCAAGGGGACCTGGGTGCTGTTTGCCACTGACAGGTGGGCAGCCCGGGCTTCTCAGGCCCTCAGCCTCCTCTTCTGTAAGACAAGAGGATTGAACTAAATGAGGTCTGAAGTACCATGAAGACCTAGTGTGACGTGACAGTACCTGCACCTGCACCTCTACCATTGGAACAACGTTCTCTCAAGTTAAGGCCTTCACAACTCAGACATGACCCTGTACAAAGCAGACTTGGCTGGGACCTTGCGGTCAGTGTGCCAGGCTCTCTCTCAGAAGTGCCACTCTTGGCCTTCCTCACAGAACATTCACTTGATCAGAGCCCCTAACCAACCTTCTGCTTCTGAACTTGTGCCCGTGTGGGAAGCCGGAAAGTCTCGGCAGAGGCCTGTCTAAACCCACACATGCACAGAGACTCCGGACGTGACTGAAAACACCTTATCTTCTGCTGTTGGGACCAAGTCCCATGCTTAGATGACTGCTAAGATGTAAAAAGAGTTCACGATGTGATAGATCCCTCAAGATCACAGAATCCTAGAGAACCATCTGGCAAGCTCTGGCTCCCAGTCTTTGCTGCTTTTGCCTTCATTCCTTCATGCAACTCACTGCACGTGCCGGATGTACTTAGTGGTCACACTGAGCCCAAGCCCAGCAGGGTGCATGGGGTCAAAGTGAGCTCCTTACTTTCTCCCAAAACTCTTATCATTGCTGCTTCTCGCACCGGCCAGCCCAGCTCTACCCCCGCCAGTCCTCTGACAGAGGAGCTCTACCTTCTGGAGATCTACGGTGGGACTTCAGCAGCATGTATGCTCATGTGCACACACATGTGAACATACATGTACATGACACTGACTGACCCAGTGAGGAGGAGAGCTGGGTGGCTGGGAGGTCTGAGGTCCCACGTGACTCTGTGAAGCTGGCCCGGCTGTACCACGGAGGTCTGCCTGCCTGTTCTGGGGTTTTAGACAGGGAGAGGGTGCTGTGTGGGAAGACACCTGAATTGCTGAGGAGCAGTGGGAAAGTGAGGTAGGCTGCCCAGGGTCAAAGAGCATAGTAATGCTGTTAAGTCTGTGGCTATAAGGTATGTGCTGTGGCTCTGCTTTCATGGAGCGGCATTGGGTAAATGGTCTGTAGGGAGGGGCTGGAAGAGCACACGACTCCAGAAGAACACCTGGAGTGTGAGGGAGGCTTTGCTGGCAGCTCAGTTCAAGATCAAGGCCTGGACAGGAAGGTCTGTTCATTTACCCAGTGCATGTGTGCTATGTAGGCATTGTGAAGGCCCAGGGACTCTGTTCCTGACCACTAGCCTGTCTTGGGCCTGGGCCTGTTGCTCTGTAGGCCTCTTCCCTCTGAGTACAAGTCCCTGGGAGATATCTCCCCAGTCCACCAATATGGAGCTTCAGCCTCTACAGACAACCTTTCTGTCCTGGTTTGCACTTAATCCTCCAGGTGTCTGAGGGTCCTGAGCTGCTCAGTCCTGTGTAAGACCTGGGGAGCTGCTAGCCTGTGAGGGTCATGACCCACCTGTGCTGAGTCGTGCAGCAAGGCAGGAATCCGCCTCAGAGACCTTGTCTAAGGTGCTGCACTAGTGTGGAACCCCAGCACACCAGTCCCCAGCTTCTGTCAGAAGATTAGAACTTCCTGGAGTCAGCATCTTATAAGAGTCCAAGGTTCTGGATACAGTCCCGACATGTCAGGGCTGGGGCTGCAGATGGTCAGGCAAGCCTGTCCTGAACTAGCGGGACCTTGGAAACCTTCCCATTGCTGTGGCCTCTGCGGGGTGGAGCTGCCCTCTCCAGTACAGTCCTTCCTCACACATACACATGCAATATGCATGGTCACCTGCTTATTACATTTTGCATATTGAAACTGGACACTGTCGGAAAGGAGGGGCCAGTGGTAATAGCTATGAACATGGCTGGTAACCTGTCCTGCCCTCCTGGTAAGATTCGTGTACTCAGGGCCAGGGCACAGTGTTTGGGCACACTCAAGTCTGGGTGTCCTGGGCCTATGGACAGGATCTGGATCACCTTTTGCAGGGGTGGGGTGAGGTGGGGGGTTAGGCCTGGCACTGATGCTCCTGGCATTTAGAGAGGTGTAAGTTGTCTTCATTAGCTCTCTTTTCAAGCCATACCTGTATATTCTGACAGAGAAGGGGGGGGGAGAGAGGCTGGTACCTACAAATGCCAGCTTCTTGGGGGTGCAGTATGTGCATCTTGTTTAGGGCATTCAAGGCTGTGTCACTTGGTGGGATGAGCTTTGGGGCCATAGTCATACCAGCTTCCTCCATTATGGCTAGATAGGGAAAGAGAATTCCAGAGTCTAAATACGGGGCTTTGTGAAAATCAGCTTTGAAAAATCAGCTGACTTATCCACCCATTTTCATCCAGCATGGAAAGACAGTAGGATTCCAATGGCATGGACGGTCTAGCTGAGTGTAGATTCAGGCAACTCTGCCCCTGGGCTGGACATTTTCTCCCGTACTCTGACTTGGAGGCATGATGGGAGCACTGGCAAGGGCCGAGGGATGAGGGAGCCTCGTGCTGTCCCTTAAGAACAGTCCCATCCTAGCTGGGATGGAGGCACAATCTTACGTCCGAGCTATGTGGGAAGCAGAGATCTGAGAAGTGAAGTTGGAGGCCAGCCCAGGTTTTTTTTTTTTTTTTTTTTTTTTACAGAGCTCATGAAACTTCATCTCAACCAGTGGTTGGTGTGATGGCTCATGCCTGACATCCTGGCCATGAGGGGAATCACCGATAGGAAGCACAGGTCCAGCCAAGTGTGACAAAAGACCTGTCTCAAAAATAACACACTAAGGGCTAAGTGGCTCAAAAGTACCTACCTAGCAGTTGTGAGTTCAAACCCAAACACCACCAAAATTTAAAAAAAAAGCGCAACTGAGTAGTAGTAGTGGCCAGTGTCCTTGTGGTGCGGAAGGATTCTTGGTCCCCAGAGAATGAGACTTCTCCATCATGGCCCAAAAGGAAAAGCCAGGGCAGAGCTCCATCCTGCTCACTCAGGACCTGGATCCCCATCTCCCGAGGCCCCAATGGGCGCAACTGCTAGGGTTCCCTACAAGCCTGCATGCAAGACTGGGGGGGGGTGGATGATGGGTGGTCCCACACCAATGCCTCAGCTGCTTGTCCTGCAGTTTCTACCCTGATCATCTCAGGGACACAGGTGGATCAGCAAAAGGAAAGGAAGGGCCGGCCAAGGGTTCCTAGCTTTGTCCTCTGCTCCCTGACGGCCTCACGTGCCCTGGCCTTCCAAGAGCTCCTCAGCCTCCAGCCCTCACCACAGGACCAGTTCTTTGCGTGCCTGCAAGTAAGGGCCTATCTCAAGGGGGCTTCCTGTCTTCTTTGGGCAGACCTTGAGGCCAGTTCACAAATGCTCCACACACACCAGCACAGATGAACGCACACCGTCCGTCCCTTTTCCCTACATCTGTACTCAGCTCTGAGATTTCATTTTTTTCTTTCTCATAGACTTCAGACACAGCCAAAACACCATTTTTGTTTGTTTTTTGTTTTTGCTTTTGTTCTCTGGGCTAGTGAAAAGATGGCAAGAGCAGCAGTTCTGGAGTCAGGTGTCAACTTGATGTCTGGAGTTACATGTCACTTAAACATCTCCAGCCTTAATCTCATCTGTAGAATGGGGATGCTCACAGTACTAACTCTCAAGGTGACATGTCTATAAGGCTCTTTGTCACCAGGCAGTGTCCTTGTCAGGAGAAAGACAGGGAGACTCAGGGAAGGGAAAGCTATGGCCTCACCACTGGGCACATGGAAAGAAAGGGCCTGGACGAGGTGGGAGCCAGGGGCTGGCACGCAGACAAGCTGAGGGGGCTTGGCTGCTGTGGGGGCAGCGCTGTGACCTGGCCCTCTGGGTCAGTGTGACTGCCATCTTTTTTGTTGTTGTTGTTTTGGTCAGTCATGGGGCTTGAACTCTGGGCCTGGGAGCTGTCCCTCTGCTCTTCAGTTCAAGGCGAGCGCTCTACCACTTGAGCCAAAGCGCCACTCCCGGCTTTTTCTGAGTGGTTTACTGAAGGTAAGAGTCTCACGGACTTTCCTGCCCGGGCTGGCTTTGAACCATGATCCTCAGATCTCAGCTTCCTGAGTAGCTAGGATTATAGGCATGAGCCGCTGGTGCCCGGCTGACTGCCATCTTTATGAAGCACAAATCTAACTATAACAAACCCTAGAACTAAAACGAAGCTGTGCAATGTGGCTCCAATTTCCTCTGGTAGCCGTTTCTGCCGTCTCCTCCCTCCCGCCTGGCACTGCAGTGACACTCAAGTCCCTTGGGACACCACGAGCTACGTTTTTGTCAGGCCAATTGCTATTCTTCACCTGAAATCCAGGTCACACGACCCTCATGCAGCGTCATGCTAAGTCTCCCTGCCTATGCTTCTCTGCTGTAGCTCCTTATTCTCTGTTGCTCAGAGTTTTGTGCAAGACCTGGCCCGGGAGGGCTCCCGGGCTGCTTGTGGTGTGGGTGTGGCTGAGTGACCTGGCTTCCCACGTGCACTTCCGGTGACTGCAGGGAAAGCATCTACCCTGTGGCTGGGGCGGGCAGGTGCTGTCCTTGCCAGGCTAGCTGCTGGGTCACTGTCTATTCTGAGGCTGCAGCAGTAGACACATGACTCGCCCAGGTTGGAGGTAGAAAGGAGTCCAGCCTGAGCCTCCAGGCCTGGAGCTCTGGGACAGCAAAGGGGAGGAAATTACCTGCTCTGTTAGTGCCCACCCAGGGGAAGTGGGTGCTAGCCACAGGGTGGTGTGCTCACAGATTGTCCCTATTTCTTCTTCTTGTCAGAGCACAGCTCCTGAGAGGGGCTCCAGGGCCAGGTTCTGAATTTAGGGTTACTTTGCCCTACGAGTCTATTCCAGCTGCTGAACATTAAGGCTCCAGGGCCAAAGGCATGAAGAGGACTGAAACACAGCGGCAACACCAGCTGTTCTCCAAGCACTGAGGAAAAGTGAAATTCTCCGTGCTTTTATGGAGCCCTAAAGGGAACGTCTACCTGTGAAAATTCTGCTTTCCCCTTTCAGAAGCATCTGTTTCCAACTATTGTCAGAAATGGTGACATGTCCCCAAAGCCAGGGCAAGAGAAGTTAAAATTCAACATGGCGACAAACGAACACTGTGACCTCTAGCTCCTGGACTTCAGCCCTGTCTGGGTTCAGATCCAGCCTCAGGTCCAGCCATCTAGCCACCTACTAGGCATCTTCCTTGCAGGGCTGTGGGTGTCCTTTAGGCACGCCAGACTTCCCCCGCATTTATCTGTGCACCTGCGCTCCCCCCTTTCATGCTCCTGACACCTCCTTCTCTTACGTCCCGGCATTTGAACTTGTAACGTTTCTCCAGACTGGCACTGCCTAACCACTGAATGTAATCATGGGCCTGTGGGGTCAGACATGGACATCATTTAATCAACTCCTGGTTTACAGAGGAGAAAAATCTGAGGCCTAAGAAAGAGCACGTGGCTGGCCTGGGGTCAGGATGAGTGGCAGAAATAGCTATAGGACCCAGGTCTCCTGGCTCTCAAGGGTGTTCTCTCTCCTCCAGGAACTGCCCAGAGGACCCATCCTTTCCCAGTGGCACCTACGGGTGAGCATCCCCTCCCCACTGCTCCTGAAAACCCCACATCGTACCATGCTCAGGAGGGCATGGGACCAGGCCACGTCAGCCTGGTTCAGCCTATTTTGGGGGGAGGCTACCTGCTCATGCCTGTCGCTGCTCCACCCTCTGTGTCTGCAAGGCTCTCCCTCCTCTTCTTGACCTGTCTAAGACGAGGGGCCTCTTTTCTGTTGTTGGCCTGGCTCCCAGAGGTGGGCCTCAGTAGGCCCTAACCTGCCTCCTTTGTATTTCTCAGCCCATCTGGATCAAGGCCCAAGACCTCAGATGCTGGTCACTGCTGGTTCCAGAATTTGCCAAGAGTGGCAGCTTAAAAAGCTTCCTGACCTGAAGAAGCCACTAGAGGAGCCTCTTCACCCCAGACTCATGCCTCTAACCCTTGTGCTCAGACAGCGAGAACCCAAGAGTTGTCTGTGAGATTGGGACATCACAAAGAGCCCGCCCCTCCTGCGTGGCTGAGGGCCAGTGAGGCTGGGCTGGCCTCAACGCCGGGCAGCCTGGCTCTATGCCAAAGGACACAAGGAATCGGAAAGGTGATGCCAGCAGTGTGCCATCCTGAAACAAAACACAGTTGCTCTGGGGTTAGTTGGCAAGTCCAAAGACAGCACTGGGAAGCAAGCAGAGGTCCTGTCCTCACACTCTGAGCACTGTTCCAGCTCAGCGTCCTCCCCGGAGAGGCTGCAAGGCAAAAGGAGCAGCGGCATTAATTTGCTGATGGGTGAGAGAAACGTGAGCGTTACCTGAGCCGGCCCCTCAGCTGCTCTCCCTCACTAAGGAGCTAGGAGGTGGCCCTGACTTCTTTGCAAGGGTATGAAACAGACAAACTAAAAAAAAAAAAATCAACATAATGGAAAAAAAAAGAAGATGCTTATGCACCGTTCACTAAGACTGATCCAGGCAGAAATAGCTAGATGGGGCTTCGCTGGGGCCAAGGGAGGGCAGAGGCTGAGAGACCGTGTTTAGGACACACAGGGTCTGTGCTCAGACAATGCCGGTTCAAGGCTCAGTGTAAAGGTGCCAACACAGGCGGCACGAGTGAGCTCTGGCTACATGTTCTTGTCCCCCATTCCAGCTGGAGCAAAGCGGCCCCTCAGGAGCTTCGTGCCAGTCAGTGGGGATGGCCTGCCTGGTCACCGTGTTCTCCTGGCGTTCAGTTCACCATTGACGGCAGTCACCGTGGCTCTGGGGACATGGCGTGAGGGGCGGTGTGTCATGGTCCCTGTAAGTCTACAGTCTCTTCCTCATTTCAGGACAGGGCTTGTGAGCCACAGAGAAGGTGGGGGAAGGATCCTGATGGGGACAAGGGTGTTGTCTACTGTGGGCAGAGAACCCTGTGGCCAGCAAGGCTGTGTGTGGGGCTGGGGCAGTGGCGCTCTGCGTCTGTGTGTGAGGGCACTGGGGACGAGGGGAGGAGAGATGGCTACTGGCTCTGTGACAGGGAGTCACGCTTCAGGAACCTGCAAGAGAGGGGAGGAGAAAAGCGACACAAAAGCGTCCTACAAAGGAACAGACCCGACCACAGCTGGAAGGAAGGCAAACCTTTGAATCAGGTCCTTGAAATACAAGCTGCAGGAAGCTAGAACATTTTGGTGGACTTCAAACTCTCTGCCTTCAACAACAATTTTCAGGTCTGTAAACGCTTTCGCTCTGCGCTGCTGGTTCAATTCCTTCAACATTTCTGCAGAACAGAGAAGACAGACAGGGCCAGGTTCCCATTAAGAGTTTTTTTTAAAAATTATTATTATTTTTAATTTTAAAAAGTTTTTTTTCAAGAAGTAGAGAAATATTGTTTCTTGGCAAGACTGGCTTAACACTGACAGTTAAAAGAAGTCACAAACATAATGCATAAACAAGCAGCCACTGGGACGGGCTACATAATTAAAGGAATAACAACTTTAAAAAGCAAAAAACAAAAAAGGAAAAACAACCGCGCCCCCCCCAACCCAAAGCAAATAGAAACAAAAAACCAAATATGACTTGAAAAAAAAGATCAAACCCAGAAATTGAAAGGTTTTGGGGGAGAAGGGGGAAGATTCCCATACTGACAATTAGAAACAGAGAATACATCATCACAGACAGCTAAGAACTATGCTATAACTACAGAACAAACTGTAACGAGCTCTCCAAATGCCAATGGGTGCCGATGTATTGGATACCAAGTAAAGCATGGCATTGTGATGTAAGATGGGCTGGACATGGTTCAAAGGAATAAAAACCACAAAACCTGCAAAAACAGCATCCCTTCTGTTAGACCCAGCCATGGTGTGGGAGCAAGCTTCTTGGAGGGGGAGGAGACCCCAAGAAAAGAAGAACCAGTTAGGGCTTTACAAGCTCCTTGCCTCCAGGTCACAATTATGGGGACTTCTGGGGGAAGCAAGCAAGCAAGGGGCAGGAGTTCTTTACACCGCCCCGCCTCCACCCCGATTTCCTGAGCCAGCCTCATTGCCTCCAGCCTTCCCTGCTGGTTCCACACTGGGGAGCTGGTTTGGAGCCCCCACAGATCCCACAGCAACCTGCCTCTGGGACCTTCCCATCTGGTGTGTACGTACCTACCTTTGTCTGGAGTCTCGGCCACCTGGGACTGGCTTAGACAAGAACCCAGCTTGGGGGGGCTTTACACCTGAGGGTTTCAGGAGCTTCTCCCAGACCCACCCCAAAAGTTAGAAGGGAGGAGGAGGGAAGAGTGTGCTAGCTACCTGGTTAGCTGGCCAATGGTCCACCCCCAGACTCACCTGGCCTGTCTGTCTCTGGGACATCCCTGCCCTTAGTGATACTAGGACATTAGAGGTCTGAGATCCTTGGGTAGAATGCCTAGACTGCCACCTGACAGGTGAAGGGGAGACAGTGACCTGAAAGTTCTCCTGCCATCATGCACGCCCTCCAGGTTATGCTGGCCCCAGATGCCATTCTAGGATTACCCCTCTGGCAGGCCTGCTTCATACTGACCAGTGATTTGGGGCCGGTCCAGGGTGGCTAGTACTGGTAACCCACCTGCTGCATGTCCTTGGACTCTGAATCTCTTTCTACATCTATAGAATGAAAACAAAGGCTGCTGCTTTTGCCTGCATGGAGTGAGGAGGCTCAGGTGATGCAGCCTTGCTAGGGACTGAGGAAAGGTTCTGTGAGCTGGTCCTTCTTTGCAAGCACATGCTGGATTAGGGCTCTGCTGAAGGCTAAGGAAGACTGGCCCTAGCGAACACATCATAGGCAGGAATGAGATGGTGAGCCTGCAGCCTTAGCTCCTGCACCCCCCTCCCCCCCAATCAGGCTGACCTGTGGACCACAGCGGTGCAGCAGGAAAGTTCTGACTGGGACATCCACAAGCAGTGAGATTGGTCCTGGCGCAGGGAGCAGGTGCTCTAGAGATCATCAGTGTGCCGAGACCGGGGTGGAGGATGAGGGCATGTGGAGGATGGATGCAGGTAAGAAGACAGGCTGCAAAGCAACCTGTCACCTTTGGTGAGTAGGGCTGGATTCTAAGCACTTTGCCTGGTCAGGGGATTCTGCCCAGGGGTGTACCCAGGATAAGCACAGATTTCTGGAGGGGTGGTAACTTGCCTCAGAGCCAGACCTGAAGGTGAACCTGAATTCGGCCTCCTGTCAGCTGTGTCATCTTAGAGAAGTGGCTCAAACCCCCAAAACCCCAGTAACTAGTATCACTAGGGGTAGATCTGAGCGACTGTTGGTAAGAAGGGCCTTCCACGGTCAGAGCGTGAAGAAGGCCTAATTGGAAAGACAGAGACAGTATTGGGCACGAGGTACTGTGGGAGGAAAGGGTGTGGCACATCCAGGAGGAGGTTTGGGGTGAGCCTATGGGATTAGTAGAGACAGGTACAGGAGGCAGTGGCTGAGAGGTTTGGGCTGGAGATGGCAAAGGCCAGGCGGGACAGCTCAGGGCGTCCTGCAGACTCAAGCAGCACCGCTCACCTGGCATCCTCTCATCCACCACACTCCAAACAGCCTCCAACTGAATGACGACGACGATGACATCATCGTGCGTGCGTGCATGTGTGTGTACTGGGTTTGAATTCAGGGCCTTCCACTCTCTTGCCTTTCTAGTTCAAGGTTGTCCTTTTGCTACTCTCACCACACTTCCACTTCTGGCTTTTTGCTGCTTAACTGGAGATAAGAGTCTCTCAGATTTATCTCCTTGGGGCTGGCTTTGAACCAGGATCCTCACTTCTCAGTCTTCTGAGTAGCTAGGTTTATGACACTATCTTTTTGAGTGAGAGGACATAGAAGAACATTCTAGGCTGGGTTTCCATTGTTCTGGCTTTGCCCTTAAGTGGTTCTATGACCCCAGCAAGCCATCTCAAATCCTCTATGCACAAAGTGGCAAGGCCACTTGCTCCATGGGCCCCTGGTGAGTGTGCTGCAGTCAGGGGGAGCCTTTGCCCTATGTCTTTGCTAAGGTAGTCAGAACCTAGGGCCAGGCAAACACAACTGCACCACCTAGCCCTGTTCCTGGATCTGCCGCCCTCTGATGTGCTGCAGATTTTCACTTCATTTCATTTCATCCTAAGTCTTAGTATGGACTCCACCACAGTCCCAGCCCTAGCAGCTATACCAACAGCCTCGGGAATCTCAGGGTGAGAGCCAGACCTGGCAAGTAGATGCCTAGGATTTGGGGTCACCATCCTACAGATGGTGCTTTCTGCTCCCTATGACTTTCCTTTTCTGGAAATCTAGATTTAATAGTTGGGGATGATGATTCGCTTCCAGATGAGTTTTTCAATTTATGAAAGTGCTCACTGGGGGATTCGTTTTCTACAGCAGGCCTGGCGCATTCCAAGTATTGATTACTTGGTATGCGCTTACTGCTGCCTGTGGAGTGCCAGGCTGGCAGGGAGGGCACTGCAGGCTACGCAATGCCTTGGAACCGAACTGCAGGAGGCAGCCAGCATCTGCAGGCTCCCCTCCTCGCTCTGGTCTTGGCACAATACAAACCCTTAATTTTTTTTTGGGTCCGGTTGTGGGGCCTGAACTCTGGGCCTGGGCACTGTCCCTCAGCTCTTCAGCTCAAGGCTAGCGCTCTACCACTTGAGCTACAGCACCACTTCCGGCTTTTTTCTTTTTGCTTATTTGGTGCTGAGGAATCGAACCCAGGGCCTCAGGCATGCAAGGTAAGCGCTCTACCACTGAGCCACCTTCCCAGCCCCCAAACCCTTAATTTTTAAGGTGACGGTTGAAGCCCTTCCGAACAAGTAGGGTCTGGCCTGGGGAGGGCTGCAGGCCTCAGAGTGGAGGTAGTCTCAGGTTGAGTCTTCAGAAGAAACTGCCTGCTGTACCTGTACCACAATTTAGTGGCTCTAGGATTCTGGGAGTAGAGTGGCCCCAAGACCCTCAAGTGGAGTTGGATGGGCGAGTGCCATCTAACTCTAATAGGGACTATTTCCTGGCTCCTTTGGTTTTGAGTGGGGTGTACCCCCATGCCTGCAGAACAGATGTGCCTGTCCTGTGGCCTGCTCCCTGACTCGGAACCACCCCTTCCCACTCATTACTGGGACTCTCTGGAGGAGTTCATTGAGCTGCTGCTCTCTTACTCTGACTAGTCACTGCAACCTTCTCTAAGAGTGCTCTATCTCCTGCCTGGCTCCCACCAACCCTTTCCACCACACCCAGCCATCAGCTGAGCTTCAGAGTAAACCTTTCAAGGCTGAGCAGCGAGGTATCAAGGCCCTGTGCTCTGCCTCAATTCCTGGTGGAGATGTACCCCACCCCAGTGAAACTTCCCTGTGTCCCAGGCAGGTTCGCTCTCCCAACCTCTGGCCCCTCTGCCTGGCTCTCTCCTTCCTCTTCTTTATGCAGCGGATCGCCATGCGTCCTTCAATGCCAGTCAGGTGTTATTCTAGGCCAGGCTCTTTGCCTCTTTTCTTTCTTCCTCCTGCGCTCTCTGCCCTCTGCCTTGCCGTGCTAGCTCCTCCAGCATCCCACGACACCTTTTTTATAGCATACCGTGCATTGTAATTATTTATGTACACGTCTGCTTCTTGCACTAGATGGTGTTTTATTTATATTTTTATCTGCAACATTCAGCTCAGCGTTTGGCATATATATAACCCAGATGGTAAACTGCAAACATGTCTCTGCCATCGAGCGGCAGAGGTCATCTCCTACCCTTTGAATCTTGGCTGGACTTATGACTTGCTTTGGATCATAAAGAGTGTGGTGGAGATGACCTTGTGTGAGTCCAAGCCATGGCTTCAAGGAGCTTTGCTTGCTTTTGCTCACTCTGGAGACTCCTGCTATTTCCACCACGTGAATAAGCACAGGCTGGGACTAGCCTGCTGGGGGATGAGAGGCTGAAAGGAGCAGAAATGAGCCATCCTAGACGAGCCATTTGCACTACCCATCCCCTGCCAATATCAGTCCAGCCTCACCTTGATCAACAGAGCCTAGCCTGAACTGCCAAACCAGCATCACAGTCTAAATAAGTGGTTGTTTTATGCCACTAAATTTTAGGATTGTTTGTTATGTGGCAAAAACCAATTAATAATACAAAAGGCAGAAATACATGATGAACTCAAGTGTTCAGACAACTTTCCCTGGTCATTTCTACTTTGATAGTTCGGTGTGAAGCTATTTTTTTTAAATGTGGGAAAATGTGTCATCTTGTCTATCTTAGGCATGGAGTTTAGTTGTGTGAAATACATTCACACATATTTGGAACCAATCTCT